CAATTGCTGAAACATTTAAATAAAAGAAAAAAATACTTCAAATAAGTCAAGTAACAATGAATTGTAACTAGATTAGAGTAAAAGTTGATTTTATTAAAAAACAATATGTGATATGTATTTTACCTATTATACCTCACTTTTATCTTTATCTAACTATATTTACTATACATGCAATCTGCATAGCACCTAATAGAGAGAAAGGAGGGATTCTACCATTAAGCTAACAGAGTAACAGAGAGCATGAAAATTAACACTTATAAGGTAATGTTATAAATTTCATAACACAAGTGTGTATTAAGTCTGAGAAAGCACTGGTATTAAAATTAATAGCTAATAATCTACACTAATAAAAGAGAAACAAGGTAATTGGCATACGACCGCTACCCTTCCCATTGGCTAATCAGCGAGATATGCAAATTAACTGTCAGCCAAGATGGCGGCCGGCAGCCAGGCAGCTTGAAACTAACATGAGGCTTGCTTGCCTCAGTGATGGAGGATCGTTGGAGGAAACCAACGTTCCTGCCTGCGGCTGCAGGCCTCTGAGCGGGCAGTTTAAGAAACATTGTAACAAATACTGCCAGACTTCAGCCAGCAGATTCGCAACATTGTAAGCAAAGGCCAGAAACCTACTTTCAGCCTTGGAGGCCTAAGAGCTGGAGCCAAGCCTTAAGGTAAAGCTGGCCCAGAATAAAAAAAAAGAAAAGAAAAAAAGGAGCAGTTGGGAACTTCAGTCACTCCCAGCCTGAAAACAGCCCTCAGCCCCTCACCCAGACTGGCCAGGCACCCCAGTGGGGACCCCCACCCTGATCCAGGACACCCTTCAGGGCAAACCAGCGGCCCCACCCATGCACCAGGCCTCTAGTCTATATAGTAAAAGGGTAATATGCCTCCCGGCACCGGGATCAGCGTGACAGGGGGCAGCGCCCAAACCCCCTGATCACCCTGCGGCTCTGTGTGTGACAGGGGGCGGGGCCCCAACCCCCTGAGCAGCCCTGCTCTGTGCCTGATAGGGGGGAGCTCCCCAACCCCTCCACCCCCCACGGGCCCTGCTCTGTGTGTGATGGGGTAGAGCCATAACCTCCCCATCGGCCCTGCCCCGAGTGTGAGAGTGGCGGCACCCCAACCCCCTGATCGGCCCTGCTATGAGCCCAACCAGGGGTTTGTACCTAGGGATTGGGCCTGCCCTCTGCCACCCAGGAGCAGGCCTAAGCCAGCAGGTCGTTATCTCCCGAGGGGTTCCAGACTGCGAGAGGGCACAGGCCGGGCTGAGGGACCCCCCCCTCCCCCCCGAGTGCACAAATTTTTGTGCACCAGGCCTCTAGTAATAATAATAATAAATAAGATGTACAAATAACAGGCAATTTTCTAACATACTAACTCATTTAAATCTCATAACAACTCTGTGAGGTAGATGCTAATACTATTCTAGTTCATAGAAGAGAAAAATGGGACACAAAGATAATTAGAATTTACCCAGGATTATACAGCTAGTAAACACCAGAGATGGGATTTAAACCTTGGCAAAACTATATAGTCTTGCCTCTCAGTGAATTGGAAGGCATGCCTGTTTCTGGTAGCTGCTAATTTACCTGACATATTCAACAGAAATGATAACATATGTCCATACAAAGACTGTACTTGAAAGTTCATGGCAATTTTATTCATAATAGCCAAAAACTAGAAAAAACTCAAATGTCTTTCAATAAGTGAATGGATGATTATCTATCTATATATATAAAATCTACATATATAAAAGCCGAAGTGACTGGTTGACCGTTCGACCGGTAGCTATGACAGGCAGTGACCACCAAGGGGCAGACACTCAACGCAGGAGCTGCCCCCTGGTGGTCAGTGTGCTCCCACAGCAAGAGTGCTGCTCAGCTGACCAATGGGCGCCAGACACTGGGCTCATGGCTGGCGAACACAGCTGTGGCAGTACTAGCCTCTCCCACAGACACTCCTCCTGCACGCCCCTTCCCCATCCAGACCAGGACTGGGATCGGGAACTGCAATGGGACTGACTGGGCGCAAGCCTGCGGCCACTTCTTGCTCATGGGCACACCGGTATCACCCTAGGAGAGGTGCACGGAGACCACAGTAGAGCAGCAGTGAGCCTACCGAGCAATGGTGGCAGCACAGCAGGGCCGGGATGAGCAGGAGTGGTGCCCCGGTCCCAGCTCGGGCTCCTCCCCGGCTCAGGCTCTTCCAGGGCCACCTGCCGCTTTGCACACTACTACATCCCTCAGGGGATGTAGGACTGCCGGTTTCGGCCGATCCCCGCAGGCCGAGGGACCCCACCAGTGCATGAATTCATGCACTGGGTCTCTATTTTAAAAATAAAAAGAATGAGTCTCAAAAAGCAAAATAAACAAAACAAAAAAAACAGTATACTAAGCAAAAGAAGCCTAAAACAAAAAAAGCAGAAATGTATAATTCCATTTAAATGAAATTCTGGAAGAAGCTAATATATATTTGTGTGGAGCACTGGGTTAGATTGACAGCAAAGGGGCATAAGAGAACTTTCAAGTGTTGGAAATGTTCTATAACTTGATTGTGGTAGTGGTTAAACAATTATACATCTGCCAAAACTCATCGAACTATATACTTAAAATAGGTGCACATACTGTTTGTAAATTACATCCCAATAACACTAACTTGAAATAAAAAAAGATGCCAATTTTTAAAATCCAGATAATGTAATATATGAAAGTAACCGTGTGTGTGTGTGTGTGTGTGTGTGTGTGTGTCTAATAAACAAATATCCACATATATGCATGTGTATATATGAAGGAGAAAAGAAAAGACTTGGAGTATAACAAAAATTTATTATTTAACAACTGCAATCCTATATAATAAAAGCCTCATATGCAAATTGTCCCCTTGGGTGGTCATTCGACCGGGAGACCGGGAGTTCAACCACTCGCTATGATGTGTGCTAACCACCAGAGGGCAGTGTAGAACATGGCGGGCATCGGTGATGCGCTGCGACCTCTCGTTGGCTACCTGGGGGTGGGGGTGATGGGGACGGAGGGGCGGTGAAAATGCAGGGTGTCCACCAAGCTCACTCCCACTCCCCCTGCTACCCTACCATGGACGCCAGCGCTCGCGTGCTGGGGAAGCTCAGGCGCTCAGGTACCGAGCGCTCGCGAGGAGCCCACTGCACCCACACGGCCTCTTCTAGGTGAGCCGAGCCACAGCCACAGGGACTACAGGGGCCAGTCGGGTTCCCCATGGGTTCTCGCAGGAGCCAGTCTGAGAGGCTGGCTGGGAGAGAGCGTGCTGCCTGCCTGGCTTCCGTGCAGTGCTGCCAGACCCAGAGGCCCACGCTGTACCCCAGCCCATGGCATCTGGCCATGCTCACCGCATCTGTGTGGGGACTCAGGCGCCATGACACAGAAGGAGGGGGACGCATGGGGGGTCCGGGAGCCCAGGTGCTGCCAGGGCCCAGAGGTCAGATGGTACCTGCCCTTCCACGCCAGACGCTTGTGCTTCAATCACCGCCCAGGCCTAGGGACCACACCAGTGCATGAATTTCGTGCACCAGGCCTCTAGTTCTTAATAAATAAATTTGAATAAAGCTCATGTTAAAGTGCTTATGTGACTATGAATTGTTCTAGGTGTCACTCTGCTTCCTTGGTACCTACCTAGTACCATATCTGGAAGAAACATAGATAGTATACAACAAATGCTGTTTAAATAAGTATGTGGCACTTCCTATTGCCTCTCTGACCTGGGACCTCTGAACAGAGTCTTACAGGAAGCAGAGGAGTGAGCCTGTCAGGGATAAAGGAAATTTTTCCAAGCTTTGGGAAAACGAAGTGTATATGCATGTTGTTTTAAAATACTTATATTCCCATAGATTAAAAGCTTTACCGGGTAGAGCAGAGATTTTAGCTCATATACCCTTTCATTCATTCAGCAGGATTTCTTGGTCTACTCTACACATGCATGGCACACACAAAAAAGCAATCATTAGAAGGAAAGTGTAAAGTTTTAATACCAGATAGCCTGAAACCTGACTATAAATAGAGGAAATCATTACAGGAAGAATGATCCACTGTCTCCTTCCCCACCTCCCACTACCTTCCAGATAGTCGGGAGAGCATCTGGCTATTTATTCTTCACTCATGGTATCCAAATTGGCGCTTGTTGAGCTTTTATTCGGTTTATCAGGATGGCCCCAAATTCACTCTGTAGGGCATCTATCCTGATCCGCAATTTGGGAAATATGCTCACGATTCTTTGTATTTTAGGACAGCTCAGGTGCACAAAGGAAAGTGTCTTGTCAGGGAACAGCGGCATGCAGAAAGTTCACAAAGGAGCTGATAAGTGCAGAATTTTATGTCAAATTAAAAGGAGGGAAATGAGGGCCAAAGCAACAAAGCATTTGCCCATCATGTGATAGCTAATTTAGTCACACATTAGGTCGTTTATCTCATAGACTGTGGGAATCCCGGAAGGCATCCCGTTTAAATGTTGGCCCATTCCCATCAGGGTCCCTTCACCACACATTCTGAAGAGAGCGTCGGAACCGAACCGGGCTGACCGAGCCAATGGGAGTGCGATGAGTACCTCGATGAAAGCCACGGGGTCCTGGCCAGAAGCGTTAGGCAAAGGTGGCCAAAGCCAAGCCAGAGGAAAGGGAGGTGGCCCGGAACGAGGGCTTTCTGACAGGACGCAAACCGGGTCGCACCCTGGACCTTACCTTCGCTGAGGTTCCGCCCCGACAGGTTTAACTGGCCGCTCTTCCTCGCCGCCTTTAGCAGCCCCTGGGGCACGGAGGCACCGCAGTCTCCCCTTTCAGCTCTGAAACCCGCTCGGGGATCCCGCTCCGCGAGCCCTCTCAGACGCGACATGTTCCCACCCCGAGTCCCGAAGCAGAGAACCATGCGCGTGACGCTCAAAGGCGCCGCCACCTTCGGCCCCGCCCTCCCGGGGGCGCGCGCGCTCGGGGCGCGGGGCCTTCCGCTCTTGGCGGCGCGGCCTCGATGACGTCACTGTCCGTGACTGGAGCTGGAGGACAGAGGAGCCCTTCCCGTTGCCGGCGCCAGCCTGGTCTCTTGGAATTACTTCGCTCAAGTAAGTGTGTGTAAGCGGCCGAGGAAGGACTTGAGGATGTATTGTGTGCAGTGTTCCCGCGATGCCCTCCTTCTTCTCGGTGCCCCCGCCGTGGCCGGGGTGGCGGGAAAGAATAACCTTTTCTGCTTCCTCCTTCTGGCCTGAACTGAACGTGGGCCTTGAGTAAAACTTGAGACCTGGGCGCGGTCTGCCGCCTAGCTGGACCGTAGCCTGTTTGTCGCTGTGGTGGTGGCGCCAAATCTCCGCCCGGCGTAGAAAAGAAAGCTGGTTTCTGTTCTTCCGGACTGTATTCTCTGATTCCCAGAGTTGGTGTGCCTGGCCCGCTGTTGTATGGAGTTCATAGGCCAGCATCGGAAGTAGTGTGAGATGGAAGGGTTGGCCACAGGGAGAGGAGGGGGACAGGCTTAGTAACTGTTTTCCCGGGAATCGTGTGGAGGCGCAAGCTCTAGCAGAGCGGAAACGGCTTGGAAGCCCGGAGATACGAGTTCGAATCCCAGCTGCTTCTGTAGCTTACCAGCGATGTGGCTGTAGGCAATTTACTTGATCTCTTTTTAAAGCTCACTTTTTAAAACTTAATCTAGAAAGAATAATTTGTATCTCATTTGACTTTTAAAATAATTAAGTGAAGCTAACGCTTTCAATATTGAGCGCTTAGTGAAGAAGGGGACTCCAGTCCAGAATAGAAAAGGATTTTTTTAAAAAATATTTTTATTGATTGCAGAGAGGAAGGGAGAGGGAGAGAGAGAGAGAGAAACACCAAAGATGAGAGAGAATCATTGATCGGCCGCCTCCTGCCCGCCCACACGAGGGATCGCGCCGGCAGCCGGGGCCTGTGCCCTGACCGGGAATCAGACCGTGAGCTCCCGGTTCGTAGGTCGTCGCTCAGCCACGCCTGCCGGGCAAAGGACAATTTTGTTCAGTTAGGTCGGTTTTCCTGGAAAGTTAGTTTCTGTCTGAAATGTACAACTTTATTAATTAAAGAAATAAGAACTCATCTTTAGACTTTTCTTTTGCCTGAAGTGACTTTGTTTTGAAAAGCATATACCCGGAAATGCCCTCCTGAGCCCCATCAACTCGGCGGGAGATCGGTGGGATGTTTGAAAGGTAGAATGACAAAATCTGCAGCACAAACAGTTTTGCCCGAGTCCTGGTTCTTGCTACCTCTGATAGTCGGTTTTTAACCCCCTCTCGCTTTTTTTCTTTTTAGTTCTGTAGAGCCCTGTACACTAAGAGTGAACAGCAGAAAAGTACCAGTATTTACACTACCAAGCAAGAAAAGAGTGGGTTTTGCCCAGCCGATGTGGCACAGTGGTTGAGTGTGGACCCGTGAACTCAGGAGGTTGTGGGTTCGATTCAGGTCAGAGCATGTGCCCAGGTTGGGGGCTTGACCCCCACTAGGGAGCCTGCAGGAGTCAGCCTTGATGTTGTCCCTCTCATCATGGATATTTCTCTCTCTCTCTTATCCTTCTCTTTATAAAATCAATTTTTTTAAATGGGTTTTAAAGCAAGAACGATAGCAGATCATGCAAGGTCACTAATGAGATCTCCCCTCCCTCCAGTTTGTCTTGGCGATTTGATTATAGCAACCTTATTAATATTAAGCCTTTACTTAGTGCCAGGCTCAGTGCTAATAATACCTCTCTTTGCTATCTCTTTTTTAGCACAATGACCAATTTGCAGATGAAGAAATTGATGCTAAAAGGGATTAAGAAATTTATATATAAGGTCACAAGTTTCTATAAGTTCTATGGCCAGGAATTTGAACCTAGATCTCTTTCCTAAACCTTTCTTGTTAATCATTATTATTCGGTTAGTGGCTTTTATTTCATCATTTTCAACTTGCTTTTTAGTCTGGACCCATTTTAAGGGACCCTTCAAATACGTTTTAGGAGACATACATTTATTAGAGAAAACCCTTTTTCTCTTCTGTAGGATTTAACCTACCTTTGAAGGATGAATTGTTCAAGTAGCAAATTTTACAATAGCCACCCTTCTCCCTACAATAAGTTCTTCAGCATTGCTTTAAATAACATGCAAGGTATAATTTGTTCATTTATTGTGCTTCTACTTGAAGTTAAGTATTTCATTATTGGTATTTAATTAGCTCTGACCGGGGATTGAACTGCAACCTTGGCTTATCTAGGTGACACTCTAACCAACTGAGCTACCGCCAGAGCACATTGTTGCATTTTGTTTAAGAGAAGCACAGCCTGTTTAATGGAAAAGTACTTGTGAAAAATCCAAGTGACTTACATTTTTAGTAAGCAATAGATATAAAGTGACATGTAAAAATTGTACTAGAATGTATTCACAGTACCACTAGTATTGCATCTGAAGCAAGTGCAAATGGATGAAAATTATTTCCTCATGCAATTTGGAAAATTACATGTTCTATCAATTGTATTACTTTAGGAAAAATGCATTACAAATTTTTAAAAACTCAGCCCTTTTTCAACATGAACATATTTGTTGAAAAATATTCATAAGTTAAAGTACTTGGTTTTTTTAAAAAAACAGATTATTAAAACAATATGGATATCTCCTTTATGAGTTTGTTTGCTTTTAAAAAAAACAGATTATTAAAATAATCTGGAGACTCCTGCATAGCTACCTTTTGCAACAAAATTTGTCTAGCTATAATTGACTCATTTTTTTAAAGTAATGGAAGGTTTCACTCTTCTAACTTATTTGCTAAATTAAAAAAAGAAAGTGAAGAAACCAAAAATATATTGAGTCTAAGAATTACATTGACCGAAAAAAATGTTTTGTTTCATAAGGGAAAATAAGACTATTATCAAAGTAAGAGTGGCTTATCTCCACCATTAAAATTTAATGACATTTTCAAACATGGCTGTGTTACTCTTATGAACATTACTACATTTGTTTTCCATTCAGCTCCATAACTGCCAACTTTTAAAACTAGCAAAATATGCTGTATTATTTCTTTGAAGACATATATATTTTGCATTTGTAATCATGGTTTCAAATGTGGCTTTGATTTGTATTTTGTTGCTATTGGAGTTGTTTGTGGCAATTTTTTTTTTATAGAGACAGTGCATTTTATTTTAGGTTATTCATTTGTGTATTTTTTGTTTCCAGTGCTTCTCTTTCTTGTTTTTGACTCATAAAGTAGTGATCTTACTCTAGGAGGTTTAATATTTTATTCAAATGTTGAGTGATATAATTCTCTCTACTTTCAATACAAAAGAATTTTAGCCCACCAGCTTTAGGAAAATATTTTCATTTTCCTTTTTTTTTTAATATATTTTATTGATTTTTTTACAGAGAGGAAGGGAGAGAGATAGAGAGTTAGAAACATCGATCAGCTGCCTCCTGCACATCTCCTACTGGGGATGTGCCCGCAACCCAGGTACATGCCCTTGACCTGAATGGAACCTGGGACCTTTCAGTCCGCAGGCCGACGCTCTATCCACTGAGCCAAACCGGTTTCGGCTCATTTTCCTTTTATAAAAAGGTTTTTACATGCTAGTGTTTTTCACATGAAGAAAAGTGGAAGAATTACTTCAAAATATTTTTCTTTTCATCCTAATTTCAGTTTTCTTTTTTTGGTTTGTTTTTTTATTGGGGGGGGGGGAACAGCTGAAATCAGTGTGGTTGTAAAGCACTTTTATGTCATTAAATAAAAACATTATGGTATCATTTATAGTTTTTTCTCAAATCAGCTGAAAATGCTTCCCATTATTCCAGTGAGTCTTACTCCTAAACTTAATAGCTATTTGTTTTCTTGCTCATTTTTCAAGATTAATGTGTTCTGTGACCTAAAGTCTTAATATTAATTATATAGGATTTATGAGTTTGTTTGCTTTAAAATAGTAAAGTAATACAGAGAGAAAATTAGGGCACCAAACCCTAGAACAGTGGTTCTCAACCTATGGGTCGCGACCCCTTTGGGGGTCGAACGGCCCTCTCACAGGAGTCGCCTAAGACCATCAGAAAACACATATATAATTACATATTGTTTACAGTAGCAAAATTAAAGTTATGAAGTAGCAATGAAAATAATTTTATGGTTGGGGGTCACCACAATATGAGGAACTGTATTAAAGGGTCGTGTCATTAGGAAGGTTGAGAACCACTGCCCTAGAAGGTACTTCATAGTACCATTCTATCTCTGTTTTAAACACATACAAAACCACTACCAAATAAATCTGTTTAAAAATTAGTTTAATTAAAATCCACTAAATTAGAATTTGACTTTATATCACCCCCTGCCAATAGCTTTGTCCTATTGGATTCAACTTGCAACCTCATTTGCTCAGTACTTCTGAAAGAGAGCGACATTGCCCCCCTGGAGTGGCTCAGTTGGTTGAGCGTTGTCACTGTTGGATTCCTGGTCAGGGCACATGCCTGGATTGTGCAGGAGGCAATGGATCATGTTTCTTTCTCACTTCTCTCCCTCTCCTTCCCCATCCCCCTCTCCCTCTCCTTCTCCCTTTCCCTCCCTCCTTCCCCCCTCTCTGTTCCTCTCTAAAAAAAATTAAATAAAAACATTTTTTTAAAGTGACATAAATGATTATACATGGCATATATTGTTCTATATGAGGAAAGCTCCTTAACTGTCTGTCTTATGAAGACAAGCTATGGTCCCTGAGATTATTTTTAGTGTCAACTTAAGTTGATAAGGAAGGAAAATGTGGATAATTTGACAGCTATTGACAATCACAATCAGATTTTTACTTAAAAAATGGATACTCAAATTTTGAGTTGGAATATTTATACTCACAAATACAATTGATATAAATTCCAGTTTAACTAATTTTTTTCTACATCAATTTTTCTTAATCCTTTAAAATATCACAATTAAATTTAGAAGATACCATCTTTGGCGTGTTAAAATACTAGTGAACATTTAAATACTTGGCCTACAATGCAAATCTTCGAGCCCAGCTTTACTCTTCTTATTTCTAAAGATATGTGTTTTGCACTCATCACTAAATTTACAGTTAATATAGCTTTGACTTTTTTCATTTTAGAGATGC